CTCCTCCTCCTCCTCCTCCTCCTCTTCTCTCTCGCTCTGGCGATCTCTCTCTCTCTCTCTCTCTCTCTCTTTTTCTCTCTCTCTCTCTCTCTCTCTCTCTCTCTCTTTGTCTCGGTCTCGCCAGCGATAGTCGCCGTTTCTTCTGTTCGTTTCGTTTTGCCGATCGGCGCGGGCCCCGTGCCTCCCCCCTCCCTCCCCCACCCCCCGTCCATATGCCAGCTCCCGGCTGATTTCGGCGACTGGTCAGGACCCCTTTCCCCCCTAGCTGCCTGCGCGACTGGCAAGAGCAGATCGACGAAGCATCTGCCCAGACCCGTACATCGTACACCCCACCCGCTCCCCCACCCGCCCGCCACATGTCCAAACCCGGGATGGAAAATGCCTACATGTCGCACCGTCGGCACCTCAGGGATCGCGACCCCTTCCCTGGGGCCAGCTTTTATCCTGAGCCACGCTTCCCGATACCAACGATAAAGCAATTACTCAAAGTTGGGCTCCCTGGCAAATTTGGGCTCACTGGGCAGATGTGTGGAGCCAGAATCTGAGTGTTGCCAGAATTGTTCTCCCTGGGTTGACTTGTACCAGCTCGGAAACAGGTGTAGGTCCGACTCTGGCCCCAGCGCCATCTCCAGCTCCAGCCAACCTTAAGCTCAAGCTCCAGCCACAGCATAGCCCGAATGTCATTCCAGCTCTTCTCTAGCCCCAGCTCTGCCCCCAGCTCTGGCCCAGCTCCAGATCCAGCTCCAGCCCCGCCCCAGGTTCACCTCCAGCCCAGCGGCAGGTCCCCAGCTCTTGCTTCAACCCCAGCCCCCAGCCCAGGTGGGCTCCAGCTGCAACAGCAGCCCGAGCACCAGCTCCAGCTCCAGCCGCAGCCTGGGTTCAGCTCCAGAACATGCCGAAACTCGAGACCCAGCCCAGCTCCGGCACAGCACCAGCTTCAGCCCCAGCTCGAGATCAGCTTCCAGCTCGAGCCCAAGCCCCAAGTCCAGCACTGGCTCGGATCAAGCCCCAGCTCAAGCCCATGCTCCAGCTCCAGCTTAAGATCACATCCAGCTCCAGCTTCGCGCGAGCTCCAGATCCAGCTCAAACCCCAGTTCCAGCTCCGCAGCATCGTCCAGCCCGGACCCAGGTCGCACCCCATGAGCCCCAGGGCCAGGTCCAGCCTCAGCTCCAGCTCGAGCCCCGGCCGGAGCTCCAGCATTGCATCCTCTCGAACGGCTCCCTGCTCAGGTTCTCACTGATTGCCCGTAGTGCCGTATGGCATGTCCTAGGCTGTTTTGTTGCCGAGTTCGTAGTTGAGTTGGCCAATGCACAGTGAATAGCACAGGTGGCATACCCAAACTTGTATATGCGATGATGCATGCTCCGACTCAGAACGTTGCACAGCAATGTTGGTAAAACAAGCATTGCGAAGAGCACTACGCGTCTTCACCCGTACGCGTGCTTCCATTTGCGATACCACGCGTTCGCCAATTGACTGGCAAGCGCAAAGTCTCAACACCAAATTGTCATCACTGGGGCAGTGTAACCGTCATGGGGCCAGGAAGCGGCATCCTGAAGCAGAAAGCGTAGAAACAACTACCCTTGTCATGTTTTCGCGACGCCCCGATCTAGGCCATGCTATGGATGTGCGGCGTCCCGTCCATGACGGCCGTTAGTTGATTCAGCCAGGTCACTTTGATTGGCCAGCGCACTTCAGCGATTCATCTCGGACGTGGCAGCTGCTTGTGCGACAGCTTGCGTGAAACCTCCAGGGTGGACCCGCTCTCGCACCGCATGACCGTCGCGGGCGGCCCGGTCGTCTTGGCGAAGGGCAGCACCGCCTACGCCTGGGCCTCGGCCTGTCCGCTCCCCGTTGCCCCAGCTCTGGAGGACGAGGCCGAGGAGGAGGGCCCCGACAGGCCTGAGGGCGGAGCTGCGAGAGGTCCCGCTCTTGGTGGGTGTCTGTTTCCGGTCCTCGGACCGCCAGAAAGCAGTCCAGGAGGCATGCAGCCTTGCACGGAGGTCGCGCTCGGTGGAGGAGGTTGCGAAGTGCGGGTTGTCTCGGCCGCCTTGACCATCGAGCCCTCGACCCCGGTCGCCCGGCTGGCTTGGTTTCGAGCTGGACGGATCCGCGGGGTCGTGCTGCTTCTTGAGTTCAGCACCTTTCGGGGACCTCGCGCTCGCGAGCGTCTCGAGGACTCGGGTAGTCGCCGGGTGCTTCCGCCCGAAGGTGGAGCACACAGCGGGGATGCACAGGATCCCCGAGTCTTGGAGGGCTTGCAGGGGGCGAAAGCGGGAGACGATCGCGCGCGGCGAACGCGGGGCGCGAACGCGGGGGGCGGAAGCGGCAGGCGAAATTCGGGAAGGAAGAGGAGGTCCCCTGCCAGACCGTGGGGGGGAGGCTGGCCGTGGGAGAGCCTCCCGGGTGCCCAGGTCGGAGCGGAGAGCGGGGGGAAGCGCAGCGTGTCGGCGCCCTTCTCTGCGTCCTCTGGGTTTTTTGCCGCGCACCTGGGAGGGGCCCAAGGGATCGGGACTGGTGAAGGAAACTGTGACAGGTGCGTGGCTAGGCGGCTCGCCTCCTCCTCCTCCTGCGACGACGACGACGACGACGACGACAACGACGGCCACCACCACCACGACCACCACGACCGCCACCACTACGACGACGACGACGACGACGACGACCACGACGACGACCACGACCACGACGAGTGACGCAAGGGACCTGGGAATGGTGCGGGGCGAGAGCGAACCTCTTCCGCTGAAAGCTGGGCGGGCTACGCACAGCCTTTGAATTGGGGAGACGGGGCACAGGAAGGCGGGGCCAAGCGGCGGCCGGAGCGGGCGCGTGCGCACTTACAGGCAAAAACCGCCCAAGAACGACTCCAAGGCGTCGAAAAAAAAAAAAAAAAAAAAAAAAACGACTGCAAGGCGCCGAGGCACCTGAGGTTGGCACATGCCTCTGTGCGCATGGCGGTGCACGTGAGGCAAGGGCTCCCTCGAGGGCGCGAAGTTATTCGCGCTTCGCGCTTCGCGGTCCTCGTTCCTTCTCCCCCCTCCTCCTCGTCCTCCTTTTCTCCCTTTGGGGGGGCGGCGCGAGGGCGCGAAGTTATTCGCGCTTCGCGCTTCGCGCAGCGCGAAGCGCGAAGTTGGGAGCCCTAGGTGAGGGCTGCTGCCGACAGCGTTGGCACGGAGGTGCTTCCCCGCGGGCCTGAGGAGGGGATCTCTGCCACCGCTGACTGCTGTGATATCGGCGGTGGATGAACTGTCTCTCTCTCTCTCTCTCTCTCTCTTCCGCCACTTTGCCCTTGCACATTCGGGTCGGGCGAAAGGGGGGGATTGGGAGAGGGGGGGTTACGAAATTTGCTGCATGCAGCTGGTTTCGGCCTCACCGAGGGGCCCATTCCTCGATACATAGCCGCCTCCGGCGCCGGGAGGCGCCGGGAAAATCAGCTACGTGAGCTGATCCTCAAACCCCCCCTTTGCTATCCCCCCCTTTCGCCCGACCCGACACATGCACGGGGGCCCTTGCACGGTCTTCATCTTCCTCTTCTTCCTTTCCGCATGGGCCTCGAGCCGAAGAGCTTTGAGGTCAGCGAGCGAGCGAAGGGGAGGAAGAGGACCAGTGTAAACCCGAGGCGCATCAATCATGCTGCAATAAACACTTCCTCCACGCTCCGTGTTCGTAGGCAACCTTGCTTGCATTGCGGGGAGTACCCCCACAAGGAGAACAGTCCGGAACGCCGCGCCGAAATAACATTCTTGGGACTTGGACGCCCCGAATCAACGAGACGGCTGCGTCATGACAATCCTACATGGCGTGACAAAACTGTTCCCGGGAAATCATCACCGCGAATCAACGACACTCTTGCGCCTTGACAGTCCTAAATCATGCCAGAACACCGTTCTTGGGATTTCAACCATACGAGTATTCGAAATCGTCACGAACATTTAAAACGAGTGCGCATCCCTGAGGCGAGAGCCACATTCTGAAAATGAACCGCCTTCCATCTTCAAAATTGCTGCAAACGTTTACGACGAACGCGCGCTGCGCTCAATCGAAAACCACAGTTTGAAAACGGCCCGCCCTCCATCCGTGAAACTGCTGCAAGCGTTCAAGACAAATTCGCGCGGCGCTGAGGTGGGAACTATGTTTTGAAAACGACCCGCCCTCCTACAAAATTGCTGCGTCTGTTTAAGACGAATGTGCTCGGAACTTAGGCGAGAGTCACATGTTCAAAATGGACGGACCTCAATTGTGAAAATGCTGCAATTTGTAAGTTTCAGGATCATACATGGTGAGAAGTCTCGGGCGAAACGCCCGGCCCGCCCTACCGACGCGTCCAGGCGCGCGCCAGGGAGGAGTTAGAAGGAAAAGAGACGGAGGACGGCGACGAGGACGAGGACGAGCAGGTGGAGGACGAGGATCAGAACGAAGGGGAGGAGGGCGATGGCGATGAGGACCAGGAGGAAGTGGAGGACGAGGATCAGGAGGAAGGGGGGAGGCTGAGGAGGTGAAGGACGAGGAGGAGAAGAAGGATTTGGAGAAACAGGTAAAAATGGAGGACAAGACGAGAGATGACGGCGACGACGAGGTGGAGGAAGAGAGGTCCATCACCCCTGTCCCTTCTCTCACCCACGCCTCACTGCACTTGCATGCGCCGTGTGACTTGAACGCAGTCAGATAATATATACGGCGCCAGCGCACATATACCATCGCCTGCTTTGCATAGCTTCACCGTCGCAACGCTTCCCTTGGCAAAGCTTCACTGGTCCTGCGCTTCCTCTTGGAGATACGAGGGAGGCGGGGTAGAGTCTAGCGCTGACGACCGAGGATGTCCTCGCAGATTTCCAAGTGCGAAGAGGTGTTTCCTCCTCTGGTCGTACGAGGTTAACCGTATCACGAGGGAAAAAGTCGATGCAACACCAGTGCGACGTGTAAGAATTCAGTGGTCGGAGTTATGGTGAACAGCTCGTTCCTCACCGGCCCATGTGCTGGTTAAGGGGATTCCGTGACCACCATGCATGTTGCTAGCACTGTGTGCCGAACGCGATGAACAGCCGTTTGTGCTTAGGTAGGCAACACGAGAATTTTACGCGACAGGCTCCACCTGTTGATCACATGATGTGTGTTCCCTCACACGCTGCAGCCCCAGCAGCCAAACTTACTTTCATAAGCTATATGTGATGTAGCTATCCCCCTGGAACCAAAGATATTGGAATTGGGCTGTTGCCTTTTCGCATTGCGATGTGTCACGTGAAATCAGAAGATTTTCTCGTCCTCATCTTTCTCTTCCAGGTGGAGGTCGAGGAACAGTGGTTCCCCTCCTGGGGGAGGGAAGGAAAGGAGGGTGTTGGAAGACGAGGTTCGATTCTGGTGGGAGACTGCAGGCCCTGCAGCTCCTCCCACGACTCGCACGCACGCACACGGACCACCAGCACCATACGGGGCCCGGAGACCATGGCGCCGACCGCGAGAAGAAAGACGTCCCAGAGCAGTGCGAGCAAGAAGGGGTTATGGTATGTTTGTTGCCGTGGCCAGAGGGCACTCCCGGGGCACTTGCGAAACGCAGCGTCTTACAGGGCGGCGTGCTCCACGAGTCGCCACCGTGGTCTTTGCAGGCTGATACTGGAGAGCAGCATCGCTTCTGAGTTAGGAGGCTGCTGCATGCGGGTTACTGCATGTACACATGCACGAGTCTACGAGTCAATGGTAATTCAAGGCGAATTGATCTACACTACACGTCCCACTCGGTTTACATGTATGTTCGACTCTGACAAGTGGGTTTTGTACACGTCGAAAAATTATTGGCGTGATGGCACATTCCCTCGGGCGTATTGTTGCGTGGCCCACCTACCGTCTCAAAGTCGTTCACGTGTTCACGTTTGTGTTGCACCGTCGCTTGTCAGCAGCCAGATCGCGCGCTCACGCTCGAGAGCCAGGCACACAAGAACTCCCTCACCGTCTGCGGCATGCCAGCCATCACATTTCCTCCTCGATTCGCCCTCCACGAAGAATGTTTGCTCGTCGGTTCGGTTTGTCTTCTTAGCTTCGGGAGCCAAGGTGCAGTCAATCCCACTGGCGTCCGGCAACGCGCCCCCCAAGTCGTTCACCTATTTCCAGCATCCGGGCGGCAACGGCATGGCAGAGGTCTGCAGGATTTCTTCGAAGGATACGATGTTTACTTTGAGTAATTGAGGGAGTAAGGGAAAGGGGAGGAGGGTGGAGGTGGAGACAGAGAGAGAGAGTGAGAGAGAGAGAGAGAACAAGCAATGTGTTTGACGCTTCCCGTATCCTTACCAGCCCATCCAGAAACGATTCCCCGACGAGTTGCTGGGCGAAGGGAAGTATATAAGCACGATGTAGTGCGACACAGAAGCTAGCAATAGTACATGAATTCTTGAAGCCATTTGGGAGTTCTTTGTGGGGCCTTCTCGGGAGCCGTCAGATCCGCTCGCGGACCTCTCAGACCTCTTGGAGACCATCGAGCAAAAAAAAGGGGCGGCGCAGATCTGCGCTGCACCTCTGGAGCCCGAAGGCTCGCCTTCTCGCGCCCGCTTAGGGCGCTCGTGGGTGCTCTTGGGGCCGCCTTGGACCTCGTCTGGGCCCCTGCCGGGGCTCTCCTCGGAGGCCCCATCGGGAGCGAAGAAGCAAGGCACAAAGCAGTGCTCTCTGGTGGTGCTTGAATTCAGTGGCGAGCGCGGGGGGGAAGTGAGAAGGAGAAGGCCTTCTCTGAAGGCGGCGAGGCTTCTCAGAAGCCACCGCGCCTTCTGACAGGTTTTCCCTGTCTTCGCGGAAGGCTCAGAAAACTTCCCAAAAGGACAAGGGACTTCCGAGCCTTCTGAGGAGGTCCGCCTTTTCTCACTTCCCCCCCGTGGCTCGCCGCCGATCTCCTATTGTGCTTGAATGATTTGGGCCTCTCAGGGGCTCTCCCTGGGACGCTCCATGGCCACCTGGAGCCGTTTTAGGGCAGTTCCGTGGACTCTTGAGGGCATGTTTGAGGACAGCCTGAGCCATCTTGAGCTGCCTGGAGCCATCGCGGAGCCATCTCGGCGCCAAAGCCTCCCAAGGATGATACCCCCCGGATGCCAAATGTTTTTGGCACAAAACGTTGATTACGTGGTGTTCACTTCGAGCAGGGGGGCGCACTTGGCCCCGCCCCATCAGAGCCTGACAAGTCGCGCCTTCGAGCCCTCTGAGGACGCTCTGACAACGCTGGTGGGCCCATGGTGGAGCCTTGATGAACCACTTTGGGCGATATTGGAGCAACGTTGAGGCTCCATAAGCTCTCCGGACTCGAAAAGGCGCAAAGGCAAGCATCTAGTTTTTACGTAGGTTTGGGATGCATGTGCGCCTTTGGGGAGCGTCCTTGGGAGGTTCCGTGGCCACTAAGTGCCGTCGTGGAGCGGTATTGGGTTTTCTTCGAGGCATGTTGGAAGCCATTTTGAGCCATCATGCGGAGGTCACCTTGGAACCAGATTGGTGGTTTTGTGTGGTCGAATGCCATGCTGGGTAATGCCTCACGGAAGATACCGGTAATGCCTCACGGAAGATATTGTAAGATCTTTCTCGTGGAAGCCATTTGGTGTCCACCATTGGTTATTGAAAGGATGTTGGTTGTTGAGGTCGCCCGACCAGTGTTTGCATTGGAGGGGTCTTCTTGGTTTTCGAAATACTAGGTCAAGGTTTTGGGCCGATCTCGGTGGGCCGCCGGGATCCCGGGTGCCCAGCTCCAGGTACATGTAGAGAGATAGAGAGAAGTGAAAGAGAGAGACAGGGATAGTCAGAGAGGGAGAAAGAAATAAGTAGAGAGTGCAATCACAGAGTCGTTCCCCAATCAGTGTTTGCACTGAAGGGATGCCCTAGCGCAGACTGAAAGAGTAGGCTACAGTTGCAGGGCCAGTTTCAGTGGGCGGTTGGGTTCCAATCTTCGCGGTTCCGGGTTCCAGGCCAATTTCGGTGGGCGGCCAGGTTCCCGGCCGGGTTTCTGGTTCCAGGGTTCCCAGCACAGTGAGGTTCCAGGATTATCGGGTTATTCCGCGTTCTTGCGAACAGGATCAGAGTGGCCATGTGCATTTATATTTAGCCATATTCAGTGAGGTGTATAGAACAGATCAGAGAGGGTACAGAGGATACATTAGCACAGGGCTGCTACATTAGAAATCATGTGGCATGCGAGGGAGAATGACAATTCGAAGGAGCAAATAAACAGGGCGAATAGATAGAGAGAGAGAGATGGAGCTGGCAGGCGTGGAGATCCTGCGAAAGTTTCGGGACATCCACTGATTGGGTTCTTTATCTTCGGAGGCGGATAGACCCTGACACGTCGATTGAGGAATTGGCCGTTTTCGGTTCGCGAGAGGGCGTCGCGGCCGTCAGCTTTGCGGGTCCAGGTCCGTCGGTTTCGGTCCCGGGCCGTTTTCATTACGGGGAGGCTTACTAAAGGGAGGTTTGTCCACCGCCGAGATCTGCTTGCATTTGATAGGAAACAAGTTGGAGGAGGTGATGTTAGTGACTCGCACTGGCTTGCGCAGAGCAGCCTGATCGGGTTCTGGCAAGAGCGGTCGGGCAGCAGATGGTGTTGATCCATTAATCTCCCACACGACTGTTTCCCTCATCGGCTTGCTCAATCGCGTCTGTGCAGATGCCTTTTAAGCTGGCAACCACTCGGCACGCGTGCGAGCTTGTAACGCGGCATACTCGTCAGGATTGCTACGATGCTGAAGCCCCCGACTCTTTTCTCGGCAAAACTTTTGGGAGCCTTCGCTTCCGTGCCAGCGGGTTCACCGAGAATGTTCTGGGAGGGGTGCAGTTTTTCAATGGCAACATTGGGGGCATAGGTTGAGGGATGTATAGACCGATACCCAATCGTCCACTGATCGCCGATAGGTGCCTGATAGCCCACCCCGCCAAGGAACGTGCTGATTCGCTATCGGAGGCCCATCGCCGATCTATCGACGATGCATCGCCGATTCCAGGTCGATGTTGACCCCCCCTGAGCCAGTCCCCCCTTATCGTTGCCCCTCGTTTGTTTGTTCAGCGGTCTCTTTTTGAGGGGCTATCCGCATCTGAGGAGTCTCAACCGCATTCGCTTTTCAACTCCAGGGAAGCCTGTGGAACCAGCAAGGCCGTGCGCGGGCCATGCGAGCCCTCCCTGGGGCGGGAACGTTGGGGAATCGCACAAAAAAAACGCCCCCTCGGAGTGTGGAACACAGTAGTTCAACGTTGAACGCCGCCGGCGACCCAGAATCGGTCGATGTTGAACGACCCAGCGGCCAGCGTTTCGGAAACGGCCGGTGGTTCAACATTGAGCAGTCTCCATGGTGTCAGAAACCAATGCCGAGGTCGGCACGACACGAGCTTGACGTACGCGAGGCTGGTGACGGCGCGGCGGCAGCGAGGGCGCGGGAGATCTGGCCTCCGAGCGTTCCTCCACCTGTCGGCAGAGCGCGCCCCAGGGGAAAGCAAGAGGGGGCAGGCCTTTTCAAACAGAGCGTGAATTACCTACCCCGCTTTCGCTTCCAGGCAAAACCAAGTCATACCACGCGCCTCCTCGTCAAGGGGCCTGACCAGTACAGGCCGTAGTTTGGCATCGCTTGGTACCTCTTGGAAGCGAGGGTGGTCAAAAGCGAGGTAGGTTTATTCGCTCTCTATTCTCAGGAGGTTCAGAAGTCTTCCAGCCTTCTCAGAAGTTTTCCAAGCCTTCCCCGACGACACAGAAAGCCTGTCCGATGGACCCCAGAGGCCTTCTGAGAAGCCCCTCCGCCTTCTGAGAAGGCCTCCTCCTTCTCGTTCCCCCCCCCCCTCCCGCTCGCCGCCGATTCTTCCTGCGGGATTAGCGACGGGTCCTGTTTCCATTGGAAAACGCGGATTTCCGCCGCCGAACGAGGTGGCACCGGCAGCATTCGGGGGAGGGCACCTCCCCTGATCCATGGATATGGCGACCGCGCGCCAAATCCGCGGATCGCTACTGTAATCCATGTTTGCGCGCCCCCGATCCAACCTCCTCCCGCGGCTTTGGGTGGCCCCAGAGAGGTCCCCAGAGGTCTCCAGCGGCCTCCTGAGGGCCCCATCCGCAGCGTCTCTGAGGCCTCCAGATGCGCCAGGGCTGGACCTGAGCGCTGTTCTGCTGGACTTCGGCTGTGTTTTGATTTTCGTTTTGGCAGGGAGGTACAGGAAAACAGGTAGAGCAAGACGCAAAACAAAACGAAAAGCAACGTTTAGGCGCAGCCATGCCGGAGGCTTCTGGCTCGGGAGGCTCCAACCTTAGGATCACCTTCCTCCGGTGGAGGCATCCCCCGCTGTTCGGCGGCAAGCGAGGGGGGGGAATGAGAAGGAGAAGGCCTTCTCAGAAGGGGGCGGAGGAGGAGGAGGAGGAGGAGGAGGAGGAGGAGGAGGGAGGAGGAGGAGGAGGGAGGAGGAGGGAGGAGGAGGAGGGAGGAGGAGGAGGAGGAGGAGGAGGAGAATCCACTTCGACCACCCGAGATGTGCTCTCCTGCATCGTCGGGGCAAAGGCCTGTAAGAGGCCTGCCATCCCTCCTCGCTTCTCCCAGGCAGGCTCTCGCCGCCGAACGGGGGGGCCAAACGGGGCCCCGCCGTGCTGCTTCGGAGAGCTCCGACGTCTACGCTTTCCGTATCGGGAGAGAAAAAACACACAGACACAATTAATCCTCCTCCGCCTCCTCCTCCTCCTCCTCTTCCCTCTCCTCCTCCTCCTCCTCCTTCCTCCTCCTCCTCCTCCTCCTCCTCCGCCTCCTCCTCCACCTCCTCTCCTCCTCCTCCTCCTCCTCCTCCTCCTCCTCCTCCTCCTCCTCCTCCTCCTCCTCCTCCTCCTCACACAGACACAATCAATCTCCGATTCCTCAGAAAATATGGGAAAATATGGGAAGTGGGGGGGAAGACAGAAGCCCAGAAAATGTGGGAAAGTATGGGGAATGTGTTTATTTGTGTGTATTTACTCGTGTGTCCTGGGGCCCCTTCACAGTAGCCAGGGCAGCGCCGACGTCTGGTTGCTCCAGTTGCCTGGGCCGCCCGCTCGGGCGTCGGCCCACCCCGGGCGGCCAGGGCGGCCCCTGGCGTCTTGGAAGAGGCGTGTTTGTGCCCCCCTCTCTCGGGCGGCCCCAGAGGGGTCAGGTCTCAGAGGGGCCGCCGCGGGAGGGTCAGCAGGCTTCCCGTTGCCCCTCTCCGCCCTCACTCCGCCCCCCGCGGGGTGGGAGGCGAGGAGGGCTCGGTGGATGGGGGAGGGGGGGAGGAGGAGGGGAGGAGTGTCGAGCGAGGTCTGGACATCTTTGATCGTGCCTGGGCCTCCAGGGATCTCAGGGGGAGGAGGAGGAGGAAGAGGCGAGAAAAGCAGGGCCGAGGGGTCCAAAGACTCCCGCAGCCTATGTAACCTTCTCTGCGGCCAGGCCTGAGGTTCAGTTTCAATCAAAGGGACTGCCTCGAGGGTTCTACTCACCCAAGGAAGGTATGTAACCATTTGGCTCAACAGAGAATTGAGGATCTTCCAGTTGGCCACAACAGTGCACCATCAGGTGATTGGCATAGAGATGGCAATCAAAGGATTGAAGAAGAAGGTGCTCACCAAGGGTAAAAAGCAGACGCTCAAGTTCACCGTCGATTGCCAGCAGCCAGCAGATGACAATATCATCGAGACCAAGGACCTCGAGAAGTTCTTCAACAACAGGATAAAGGTGGATGGCAAGACCGGCAATCTGGGAGAGAAGGTGACCGTCTCCAGGGACAAGGCCAAGATCCAGATCAACGCGGAGGCCCCCTTCTCCAAGAGGTACCTGAAGTACCTGGCCAAGAAGTACCTCAAGATGCAGCAGCTGCGCGACTTCCTCCGCGTGGTGGCGCCCAGCAAGACCTCCTACGAGCTGCGGTACTTCAACATCAACGAGGACAACGACGAGGAGTGAGCGCGCGGCGCCCCGATCCCGCGGCTCCTCCCGCGGGGCCTGCCCGCGCTCGGCGGCCTCTCCAAAAAGCACGACGATGCTCGCAGCCCGATGGCCTCCGATCTCGGTCTTAGCCCGAAGTTGGACCCCGTTGCTGGCCCTCAGCCACGCGCAGAGGGGGGTGGGGGGAGGGGGGGGGGCTTCTTAGAAGCACCCCTGCTTCTTAGAAGGCGCGGGCCTTATCTATAGACGTAAGGCCGGCGCCTTCTAAGAAGCAGCCTGCTTCTAAGAAGCCCTCCCCCCTCCCCCCACCCCCTTGTGCGCGCCGCCAAGGTCCACCGTGCCACGTAGGACTGAACGAGGTGGCCTCGAAGAGTGGACTTCCCGTGTGTGAGAGACGTGCCCCCAGGCGGGGTTCGCCTCAGGCCGAAGTGAGGCCTCTGAGAGGGCGGAGTGGCGCCCGAGCACTCGCGCAAAAGCGTGCGACGGCCACCAGGGATAGAGAGCGAGTGCTTGTCAACATGTTATTCTCGCCGAAGCGTTGCGCACATTCGTCTGGAAAAGTGTTTTAACAGCTTCGAGCATGGAGGACGTATCATGTTGAACATGTGGATCTCGCCCTGGTGCCGCCACAAATCGTTTGGCAAGGTCCTTCTGGAAATGGTGTTCTCGCTCGAGACGTCCTCAAACCATACGGTCTAACGTGCAACAGGATGCAACAGCTCAACAGCTGCACATGGAGGGCGGCCCCCCTCTTCAAAACAGGGCTCTCGCTGGACACTATAGTCAACCCGCACAGGCAGGATGGGCAGACCTTCCGAAAGGATAACTACCCGTGTGCCCATTCGGCCCATCCTTGGCGACTCTCGCTGGCCAACCTCGCTCGAAAAAACGCCAACGTGGCTCTCCGAGGCCCTTGCGTCCTCCTTACCGCGCATCCTTCTGATACGGGTCGACTGTATCTTGGAGGAGGAGGAGGAGGAGGAGGAGGAGGAGGAGGAGGAGGAGGGGGAGGGAGACGGGGAGGAGGAGGAGGAAGAGGAGAAGAGGAGGAGGAGGAGAGGAGGAGGAGGAGGAGGAGGAGGAGGAGGAGGGCACCAAGAGTCCGTCGAACCAAAAACGCTGGAGGAGGAGGAGGAGAGGGAGGAGCAGCAGGGGGAGGGGGAGGGGGAGGAGGAGGAGGAGGAGGAGGAGGAGGACGCGTTCTTCGGGACATGTTCTTCTCAAGACGGATGCCTCGCTTGAGGGGCAGGCCCGCGGGCCGCGCCGGCCTGCAGGGACGTGTGAGGGTTATTACAACGTCGTTGATGCATCCTGGTTTTACTCTGGTCCTCCTCCTTCTCCTCCTCCTCTTCCTCCTTCATCTCCCCCTCCTCCTCCTCCTTCTGCTCCTCCTCCTCCTCCGCCTCGTCCTCTGCCTCCTCCTCCTGCTTCTCCTCCTCATCCTCCTCCATGCCTCCCCCCTCCCTTCTCCTCGATACCTCCTCCTCCTCCTTCTCCTCCACTTCCTCCTCCTCCTCCTCCACAATTACTCAATATGAATACTACTCTCTTTCTTTTCCTGATGACGGTCTGGGAGTGTCCGACCCCCCCCGCGTAGTGTTTGTTTACACATAGGTTTCCCCGGAGTTGGGTTTTCGCCTGCATTTGTTCTCAAAATGCTGCTCTCGCTGAGGCGCCGGCCTCATTTTCGGGCCCCGCTCGTTCCGAATCGTGCTCCCGCTGCAGCGCTGGCCTCAATTCCGCGCTTCCGCTCGTTTCGACTCGTGCTCCCGCTGCAGCGCTGGCGTCATTTCCCGTGCCATGCCACGGCATGCAATGCAATGCTCGGTTGATACTACGCTTTGCGGTGCTCTTCTACGCCATGCCACGCCGTGCTCTACAATGCATCGCGTACCCTTTCGGGATCATTGCCCTGCTCGACATCCGACTGTGCGAGTAGAGAGGGGATCTGCGCCATGGTAAGGGATGGGAGGGAGGGGTGGGATGTCAGATATGACGCGAGCGCACCTAGCTTGTCCTCCTCCCCCTCCTCCTCATCCTCCTCCTACTCCTACTCCTACTCCTATTCCTACTCCTACTCCTCCTACTCCTCCTACTCCTCCTCCCCCTCCTCTTCCCCGCATCCCCGCCTGCGCTGTGCGCCCTCTCAGCGGGGGTACAAGGCCTCTACCAATGTGGACATCGATGCGGACTGCAGCGGAAGCCTCGTTCCGTTCGCTCCCCCTCCAATTCTCCCGCTCCCAGCCTCCTCCCCCTCGCCCGCCATCCCTTTTCAGGGAATAACTTCTCCCTGCCGCACCACCAGACGTGTCGGTAGGGTCGAGCCAGGCGTTTCGCTTGAGGAGTCTCCATCATTTCTGAGATTGAAGCTTGGGAGTTGGAATAGCCTCTAAAGGCCTTTAGTTTTGCACCCCTCTGCTTCTTTCGGCGGGGAATGGAGTCGCCCCTCCTCGTCGTCGTCTTCTTCGCCCATCCCCGTCCCCGCCTCCTCCCCCTCCCCTGGGCGCCGAAACGGGGAAGCCGGCGGCCGTGCGCAGGGCGTCCCCGACGGCTGCCGGAGCATCAGGCGCGGGCCCCCCTCCTCCGCCTGGGCCCGTCGCTCTGCGCGGGTGGGGCAACGGTCTCGCCGCTCGGCGGCCCGCTCGCCGCAGGAGGCCATGAACGTCGCCGTTGCCGCCACCGCCCGTCGTCGCCGCCGCCGTCGTGGCCCATGTCGCGCTGCCAGGACGGAGGGCGCGTGCAAGGGCACCGCGCGGTGCAAGCAGGAGCTGGCGGAGGGGCCCCGATGAGGAACAAGGGTAAAAACACAGGCGAAGCGGCATCCAGGGGAAGGGGGGTCGAGGCTTCGATGACCCCGGAGGGGAGAGGCAGGGCCTCTCAGGGGGGCCCCAACGTAGTCCAGGGTGCCACCGTGCTCCTCGTGCCCTCTTCGCCTCCGGGGCTGGGGTGGCCTCGGCGGCTGCCCTGGGTGGAGTACCTCGTCTGGCAGTCATGGGCGCCGAGGCGCGATCTTGCCAGATCTGACGTCCAACTCTTCTTTCTCATATTCCATTGCGTTGGGTCCTTCTCAATTCGTGAGGTCGGGTGCCAGAGAGCACGTGATTCCTTTGAAAGGGCAGCCTGATCCGATCGGAGAGGTCCTTTTGAGCCTTGGGCGTCGAGCGCCGGGAGGGCACGAGCGGGCGAGAGCTGAAGTCGGTTGGACGTAATTGGGGAGGCGAGGGGAGGCAAGGCAGCGACGGGTGAGAGAGCATGGGATGTCTGGCCTGCCCTCCGTCGTCGTCCTCTTCCTCCTTCCTCTCCCCCTCCTCCCCATCCTCCCTTCTCCCTCGCGAGTGGAGGCCTGGGCTCGAGAAGGCTTGGGCTTGTGAGGGGGCACTGTCCTGCCCTCCGCCCCCACGTCCCGCAGGTGGGCGGACAACTCGTGGGCGGTGGTCAGCGGCGCCCGTCTGCAGGAGACGGGGCGCGCGGCGAAAGAGGTGGTGCGAACGTTCGTCCTCGGGGCTTGAGGCCACTGGCCCCAAGCCCCGAGGACGAACGTTCGGCTCGGACCTGCCGACTTCAGCCGATTTCGATTTGGCTGCCGGCGTTTGCCGATTTCTGCCGATTCGATGCTCCGGTCGACCCGATCCGGCTTATCGATTTGATGCTGGGGCCGCCTGGGCCAGGGTGGGCGAGGAGTCGCAGGATCGGGGCTCCAGAGGCGGGGTCAACGCGAACGGGGGTCAGTCAGAGCGCCGGATCTTCCAGGATCTTGCAGGATCCTGCAAGACCTTGCAGGATCCTGCAGGATCTTGCAGGATCCAGGATCTTGCAGGATCTTCCAGGATCTTGCAGGATCTTGCAGGGCCAGGGTACACTGGCCCAGGCTTCGGCGCAGAAGTCTGCAGGATCTTGCAGGATCCTGCAAGACCTGACTGACCCGGGTCGGGAATGTCCCTGGTCAGAAGATCCCCGACAGGAGTCTGCTGCCTTTTTACAATGTTCGGGCGGCGCCAAGTCCAGCCGGAACCGAGGTGCTTCATTCGGTGGATCTCCAACTTGACTTGGCATCTTCTCGGGCAGCGCTACGTGCGGTTGGAGCAAGGCCATCTTGAGCCAAGGGGCTCGATCTGGTGAGCGGTCCACCTGGACGTGGCCGCTTCTGACCCCCTCTCTAAGTTGGACTAGCGGCTCTGTCGCAGATGGGTCAACGGCGAGAGGTGCAAACGTTCATTGATTATGTATTACAAACGTTCAACAGTACGCAACTGTTACGGGGGGCTCGAATAATTGAATTAGAAACGCAATAGCGCATCCACATAGCATCCAGCGCGCCAACTATGGCATCCAGGCGCTGGTGACTGCAAGCATTCTTGCACCTCTCCTCGGACCCACATGCGCCAGACCCACTACAACGGCTTTAACTTCCTCCCTTCATCACACCTTCCTGGCTTCCCAATCATCTGGGGATCGAGGGAGGCGCCCGCGCTAGCGGCGAACACGACTCGGACGAGCAGGCCCGAGGGCGCCTCGCAGTGCAGCAGGTGGGGCAGGGTGAGGAGGGGGAAGAGCAGGATAGAAGGCGAGGGAGGAGAGATGGTGCACGCCTTTTCCGGGAGAGTGGCAACTTGCGGCCCAGCAAGGGCCGAGCGTCGGCGTTGGACTTCCACGCAGTGCGCCCGACCTGGAGGCAGCGGCGGCGCAGAGCGGGGCCCAGCAAACGCGCAGGTTTCTTTTTGATGTGGCTCGCATTCCCATCGTAAACGCCTCGGCCTCTGGGGCCACTTCATTGGACTTGTCCAACTCGGGCGAGTTTGTCAGGCGTCAAGGTGCCCGTGGCAAATCCTCAACCGTGTTTCAAGGCGAAGCGGTCTTGGGCCATCGTGGTGGGGCTGGTTCAGAGGTCACCTCGGGCCCTTGGAACGCTTCGGAGAAAGCACAGGGAAACGTCGGGGCGCCCAGAAGGCCCTGGGGGAGGGGGAGGGGGGGGGAGGTGGAGGAGGATGTGGAGGAGGAGGAGGAGGAGGAGGAGGAGGAGGAGGAGGAGGAGGAGAAGGAGAAAGAGGAGGCGGAGGAAGAGGAAGAGGAGGAGGAAGAGGAGGAGGAGGAGGGACGGAGGGAGACGCCGACGCAAAACAAGAGCGTACCCGATGATGACCGACGAACAAGGCACACCAATGGCAACCGCACAAGAAAAAATCTTAGCAACAACAAAGCACTTCGGACACATTGAAGCAGTTCGGCGAATTTCCGCAGGAAAACGACACTGTCACAAGATATAGTCAGAGCGCCGAAGTCACCGACAATGGCGTGCAACGACACATCGACAACTTCGCCCGCATCTACGAACTGCGGGCGATCTGTACCATCCCTGAGCTGTTTCGGGCGCCGGGACCAGATGGCATTACAGGCGACGTTGCCAAGAAAGATTGTGCCAAGGGGAATGGCCAGGCATACGCATCCGATCATTACGAACGCGGCGCTCTATTGCAGGGAAGGGGTCGCCCACAAAGGTTCGAGGATGACATGCTTTTGGAAGTGCAAGGGCAGCGAAGAGCAGTTCGGCAACCAGAGAAGCACCATACTGGTCAACATAATCATGAAGCACCACTATAGATACATACGCAAGTAACTACGAGACGCGATGCCCAGCATTTTCTACAGCACGCACATGGGCGGACGACAGCACTACAGCACCGACTTTAACCACCTCACGGTACGACTTCTCGCGGACATGGCCAAGAGGGAACATGTGGACCTAGTCATCGTCACGATCGACCTAAAGGCTGCTTTCCACAAGGTTACCAACGCAATGGTCTACAACATGCAGCACAGCGCCGACGATATACAGGACACCCTCGACAGTATCGAGATACCAGAGGTGCTGATCCCAGCCATCCGACAGCCGATGGAAAACAACGCAACTGCGCCACGAGATGCCGACAACGAACACATCAACGCCATGCTCGCTGAGGCACATCGAGGCACCTGTTTCTACATCCATGCCGATGCCGAACATGCCACTCCACGACTTGGATCAATGTCTGGAGTGCCAACAGTTGACTTCACCTTTACTGCACTAATGGCCGAAGTTGTCAGGGACGACCAACGCGAGCATAGCAGGCGCCAAGATCGATATACCGCGTACTGACCCCATTTTTCAACAAGACCACGACAACAAGACCATTACCAGACCCTCGTTCGTCGACGACGTCAAAGCTGCAGCCACCACGGACAGTGGCGACAAGATCGACGACATGATCGGCACTATGCGGCATCACCTAGTCCGAGCAACACCTTCCAGAGGACTGCCGATCAACACTCGTAAGTCTAGCTTCCCCGTCTTCGCAAACACGGCGCGCGGTAAGCGCAAGGCCAGGGAATTTTGGAGGAATGGAAAATACTTAGCCGACATGGATATGGAGCTGAACGTCACCAGCTCCACCAAGCTACTCGGAGCCATGTTCAACGACAGGAACGACCTCACCCAGGAGATCGCAGCCCGTATCATAAGCCTACAAGAAGCTACAGCACCCACGAGGTGGACGCTATTCAAACGACCACACGTCACGACAGGCGCAAAGAAGCACTACCTCGAGGCCTTTGGATTCTCCAAACTATCTTACAATGCGGGCACGTGGACCACCAGCAAGGTGGGCGACAAGCCTCGCCTCAGCACCGCATATGCCAGAGCTGCGCGACAGGCAGCCGGCATAACACACAGCGAGATGAAGACGAAGGCCATCACCAACCTCGAGATTTTGGCGAGGCTCGAGGTCCCAACCTTGGGGATACGGCTGAGTACATATCGGTTCAGACAGCTAGGGAAACTGGCGCACCAATGCCCACGAGAGCTCCAGGCACTAGTCGACTACAGCATCATTCAAGAGAAAGTTGGGCCACCAGAATCAACGACGACATCCGCACCATCCACCCGTACATCGACGGCGAGAGCCCAGCCGACGAGGAGATCTACGACGCGGCAACATGGATCAGAGCGACTCGAGAGGATTGGCGACCACCAAACACGCTGTACGATCAGTCAGCCACCGAGCAACTACCTGGATCAAACACGACGCCGCGCACCACAGATGGCAGGCGGCCATCAGCCATGCCAAGACCCGAATCGAGATGGCTAATGTTGAAGCCACAGCAGCGACGACACCGCACACGACAGTAGGACGTCCAGCATACATGCGCTACCATTTCCGAGCTATCGTTGCCAACAGGGCAGCCTACGCCAAGCACGTGACCGAACACCACCAACCGCGGCGCGACATGGCACATATTGCGACGGGCACTGCACGTCGAATATTCGCAAAGGACTTCACTACCCCAAACCGCTTGCTCAAACGCGTCAAAGCATCCAAGTATTCGCGGCCTCATGGCCCCACTCTGGACAACGGCCCACCGACGAAGAGCGCGACGCGAACAAGCACGAAATACGACGGATTCGACGCAGCAGCAAGCACTTGGGACTGCCTGAGGATTACGCCAGCGCGCCCGTCACCCAGACGATGGAGCCCCCCGTCGGCCTTTGTGCCACTGACGAAACGCACCTCTGCACGATCACCCCACCCCCTACATCCAGCGGCGAACAGCGACCCAGGTGCGCACGACGGCCAGCAGGACACCGCAACAGTCTCGGGCACCACAGCCGCCAGCAGCATGATCGTTCTTATCGCATGTGAGCAGCACGCTATCCGTGAGGTCATCGAGGCCATCATGGAGACCACCAACAGAACGGGGCAAAGGCATTATGGCACACGCACTCTGCTACGGCGATAAGGCCAGCCAGGAGTCCGACCAGGTAGTTAGCTCGATCCAAAATAAACAGATCTCGGCGGGGATCATTGACCTCGGCATCAACAACGACGACATCTAAGCGGGCCAGCGAGGACAACAAGCACCATGGAGCACGGAATGCAAGACCAGAGGCCAAACCAACCGCAATGGCGGTCAACGAGTTCTTCAGGTTTGCGATCCACATCGAGCACTTGTGCACGGCCCACGGCATCCAGTACTACGCGCGCGAGAACGGCAACGACCTACAGATGAAGGAGCACATGGATACCCGCGCAGACTACCGGACACGGGTCACGCCGAGTACAACATGGACCCCAGCTGGAATGACCGAACAGCTGGCCACGACAATGGACGACGTAACATCGAGAACCACCACCGACAGCAGCATGAGCTTTCTTGCGGCATAGCCATGGCACGGCGACGACTGTGGAACAACAGCATGGGTTGGGCCTCGGCACGACTGCGACGACGCAGAAGACACGGACCAACCCAACAGCGCCCGCGAGGGAACGAGCCCCGACGCGCTCGCCACAACGCCCGAGGCATGGGAAGCCGCGGGCACGCGTCGCCAAGTTTCGCCGCCCGTGGAGGGCGGCGTCTGCGACGGAACGAACCCCGACGCACTCGCCACAATGCCCGAGGGAGGCATGGGAAGCCTCAGGCCTGCGTCGCCGAGCTTCGCCGCCCGCGGAAGGTTGCGTCCGCGAGGGAAAGGCCCCCGACGACCCATCACCCCCGCTCGAGGCGCGCGCTGCTCAGGGGCCGAGACTCCCAGAGGGTGCCGGCCTCGAGCGGGCGTCGCCACGCTCTGCCACCAGAGCCAGACAGCACAGGTCACAGCAGGGCGGCAAGCACGGCCACCACAAGAACCACCGCGACACCCACATCGACCACCGCCACGACCAGGACCTCCTCGACGGCGACCACAACGCGACAGCGGGGGGGGGGAACCCAGAGGAGGAGGAGGACCTCGACGGCTCGTCACCACAGCGCATCGCGCCGAAGGGCGGCGACTGCCCCCCCGACCCCCGCAGCGCCGCTGGCGCCGAGGGGCGGGGGACAGGGTCGGCCCTTAAAGAGAGACAGCGACGACCAGAAGCGGAGCCGCAGGCCACCCTGGCCAGGGCCCATGCCCACGCGAGGGGTCCACGAGGGAGCCCCACGGCAACAAATCGCAGACGCCCGACAGCGCACCGCCCTAAGCAGAACTGGGTCGAGGACACCCTCGGCGGCGAGCTTGCCGGCCCCTCAGGAGACCCCAGGGGTCGACCACTTCAACTAACATCTGGCCCCGCGTGGGCCGCGCGGAGGGGGCCGGGCCATCCCGAGACCCATGGCCCCTCCCTCCTTGGCCCAGGAGGCCCTACGCCTTGTTCCTTCCTCGGGGTCTCTTGGGAGCTCGGTCGCCTCGTCTTTGGGCGCGGGCCCCCCCTCGTTTCCCCCCTCGCACGTGCCTCGCGGCTGCCGCCTCGGCTCTCTCCTGCCAGGGGGGGGCCCTCGCGCGCGCGAGATAGTTTGGCCCGCCCACCATCACTTCCGCGTCGCACTCGCGAGAAGGAGGTCGACTTCAATTACGGAGGTGGTGGTCGGGAGGCTAAGTGACCTAGGCCTCGGGCCCTTGCCCTGCGGGCCCTCGGCCCCCGCCCCCCCCCTCCTTCGCCAAGGTTCCCCCCTGTTCCTCGGCGGGGGTTCTCGGGCCCAGAGGCTTCCCCGGGGCCCCCACCCCCTGCCCTAGCCGTCCGACGGAGGCAGCAGGTGGGACAGAGGTCTTGCTGCGCGCGCTCGGCACGCGGGCCAGCGCGCGCGCGCGGCCGCGGTGGACAGGGCCGCCGCGCGGCCGCCAGTGCGCGAGGAGGAGAGGGGGGGGAAGGAGGGGGAGGAGGAGGAGGAGGAGGAGGAGGAGGAGGAGGAGGATTAGAGTTAGGAGAGATAGGAGAGATAGGAGTACGCACGCGCGGAAGTGCTGCAGACCTGGAAAGGAGAATCAGAACAAGAAGAAGGAACAACAAATGCTACCATTCATTGCACATGCATCGGTCAATGCCCCCTCCCCCCATACATCGGCCCAATGAAAGTTCCTGGAATTTTCATCACGACGCTGGCCGGCGGAAGTCGACGGAAGTAAAACGAGGCGGAAGACGGGGCCGCCGGAAGGCTTGCCAATGTCAGCGGAAGTAAACGACGCCCCTTCCGAACCCCGCACCCCCGTAGAAGCCTAGCAATGTTGTTTTCCTCCGTGGGCCGGGCGGGATCCCGCCTGGCTTATTCCGCTTTAATCTTATAAGTTTAGTTCAGGACGATCAAAATTCCACCCAATTAAAAATGGGGTAGACCAAAATCCCGGGCCGTTCATGGATCCCACCATGCTGGGATCGGCTCGAAGTAAGATGGGGCTCATAAGTTGCAGTATTACTGCCGTGTTGGGGTCTTCTTGAGGTCATATTGAGATCATATCCCGGTCATGTTTGGATCACGCAACCATCGCGTGGTCATTATGAGGCCACCTTGGGTGCGCTTGGATCCATCTTGTTGCCATCGGGCCATCTCGGCGTCACGCGTTGCTCATGTGTTTCGTCATCTGCGAGTCGGCCTGAGACGGTCCAGAATCCACGGCGGGATCGCGTTGGGGTGGCATCATCTTGGGTCCTCTGGACGTTATCGTCTGTGGCCTGAGGCATTCCTGGAAGCATGTTGTGGCCATGGGACGTATTGGGATCGCGTGCGTGCGAACTCTGAGCACGCGCGCGCGACTTTTCATCTTGCCGACGGGTTTACATACATATTCTTCCTCTTGCGAGTTTCCCAGGAAACTTTTGTTGGAGCCAAGTATGCTCAAAAATTTGGCGTTGGGCTCCGACCGCGGTCTTCCCCCGCGCGTGCCGACTGTCTGCGTTTTGGGGAGAGTGGGAGTGTCCACAAAGTGTTTCCCTCTACCGTAGATGAGGGGGAAATCCCTTTCCCTCAGAATCATGGGAGGAAATGCCACCCGGACCCGATACATTGGCGTTTACTAGACGGCCTTGGGCGTTCGTTTATTAAACAGCCCTGCGCTGTTCGATTATTTCTTCGGGCGCGTTTACTAAAAGACTTCGCGTGTCGGGGTAATGATTCTGCGGGTGGATTTTCTGCCCGCGCCTCGGCGTGCCCAGGGGCGCGGCCAGCGGATCCCGACTTCACCGAAAATGGCTGGCGCATCACACGGAAAGGTGCAGTGGAAGCCCATGCCAAGAAACACCCCGTTTGTTTCCAGGGTAGGGTGCCCTGGGTGTCTTGGGTTTCGATGGTTCTGCTGTGGAAACCGCGGCGCGTTCCATACACAAATCAGTGGACGTCCCAGGGTTTCAGGGTTGGGTTTCTTGTAGAAGGTTTTTCATGGTCAAGCTCCTAGTGTACGGTGAAACGCTGCCGCCCCCTGCCTTTGGGAAACGCCCAGGCGGCGAAGCGTTGGGCCGAAGTCTGGCGAATATCTGGAAATATTTGTCCCCCCGGCCGCAGCAAAAAATGAGGCCGAGCAGCCCGGGGAACGCAGGAAGAAACAGGCCTTGGCAACCCGACGAAGGCGGTCGGGAAACGAGACCCCGCAATCAGAGGAAGGGAGTGGAGAAACCGGGCCGGGAACACGAGAGGAGGCCAGTCCAGACGCATGACCCAGCAGCCCGAGGAGGGCAGCCAAAGGCCACCGACGGGGTGCTCCCACGCCTCGCTCGGCGGCGCGCGCCCCCGGGGCACGCCCCGTGGGCGAGGGCGACCGACGAGCCCCCCGCGGGGGCGCACGCCAGGCCTGCCGCGGAGGTCCTGCGCGCCACCGGCACGGCGGGGGGTCGCCGCCGCCCCGGAGGCGCGTGGGCCGGGCCAGCGGTTGGGGCACGGGGTCGGGGCCGGCCGAGGGGGCGGGGGCCACGCAGGATGGGAGGATGGGCGGGGGCCACGCAGGATGTTTCCCCAGGTGTCGTGGCGCCCTCTCCTTCTTGTGTCTTATTCGCTGTCGCATTATCAGGTTCATGATTGGTAGTAGTGTTAGTATGATTCTTGTTATGCGTATTAGTATTATTCTTATTCGTATTATTATTATTATTATTATTATTATTATTATTGTTAGTATTATTATTATTATTATTATTATTACTATTATTAATGTGATTGTTATCATTGTTCATATCAACATTATTAGGCGTCTCCTCCTTCTTCTTCCTTTTCCAGCACGCCCCTTGCCCCCCCCCCCGTCCGCACACATGCCTCTTGGGGGAGGGGAGGGCGATGGAGAAGGGAGGAGTTGGAGGAGGAGCAGAGAAGAGAAGAGAAGAGAAGAGAAGAGAAGAGAAGAGAAGAGAAGAGAAGAGAAGAGAAGAGAACAGAAGAGAGGAGAGGAGAGGAGAGGAGAGGAGAGGAGAGGAGAGGAGAGAAGAGAAGAGAAGAGAAGAGAAGAGGAGAGGAGAGGAGAGGAGAGAAGAGAAGAGAAGAGAAGAGAAGGGAAGAGAAGAGAAAATAAGCGAAGATAAGAGAAGAGAAGAGGAGAAAAGAGAAGAGAAGAGAAGAGAAGAGAAGAGAAGAGATGATAAGGGAAGAAGAAGGAGAAGAAGAGAAGAGAAGAGAAGAGAAGAGAAGAGAAGAGAGGAGAAGAGAAGAGAAGAGAAGAACAGAGAAGTGATGAGAAGATAAGAGAAGAAAAGGAGGAGAGGAGGAGGACAAGAGAAGAGAAGGAGGAAAGGAGGAGAAGGAGGAGGCCAACAGATAACCCATAAGTTTACGCAGACGTTATGTTCCAATGTTCTCGCGCCGTAGCACGCGGGCAAACAAAACGTCTGCGCGGATGCCCCCCCCAGGATGGGCGTCTCGTGTTCGTCGCCTCGAACGAAGCTGGCAAGCCTTTTTTCCAGCTGCTCACTGCCAGCGAAGCGCAGCTCGGTTCCGACGTCATCTTATAGTGCCTTGCGGGCGTTCTCCGTCGAGGGACTCGCCCGCGTGGATTTAGATGATCGCATCGAGCTCCCGTCACGACATGCACGCGCGAGCAGGGGCAGGAAAAAGACAGTGATGGGTCCTACGTCCCCCTAGGCAGTGTTACGCGCTCCTGCGGCTGTCGTTGCTCCTTGTTGTTGCTGAGGTGCATGGTCGTTGTGTCAGAGTCGTTCCACAGCGCTCCTGGCTGCAAACACGTGGCAATAGGGCCGCATGTGTTTGTATCGCTACGTGCACACAATACGTACGAGAGAACATGCTGTGTGTTCTTCCGTTGTGTCTTGCTCGAGTGATGATGGCAAGGGCGTTAACGCAGCACCAGGGTGCACAGTGTGACTTGGTCAGTGCCATGTCACCACCATGTCACGTTATCGACCATCTTTGCATGCCAGGATAGGCGGGGATGGAAAGGAAGATGGGGACAGGGAAAGTTGGTAATCCGTTACCCGATTCATAATGCTTCTGCCCAGATGAGTAAACTGGGAAACGCGATATTGGGAAACCTTCCCCCCGCGTGTCTTGAGACAGGGCGATTGACGCAGTTAGCAATGGTTGTTTCAAGGTACGCATGCGAAGATGCCGATTTCCGCAGCCAGGCTGAACACAAACCACTAACATAGTCTTCATCGTAGCACGTTGGGCTACACACTATCTGGAATTGCAAGTGCAGCATCCAACTGCCTGCAACAGCTCTTGCGCCGTGCCAGCGCAGCATACGAATGCACACAGGAGGCCACAAGGAATCAGACGCCTAAATCGTGTATGTGTTTGGCTTCGAATGGTTTCGGAGTGCCTTTAGGAAAGTCAAATAATACACCAGGATGGCCCTCAATTAAGGCACCCCCTCTATACGGCCGAGATTGTTCCAAGATGGCCCTCACACCCGCCTTGATCGCCCCGAGATGGTTCAACCTAGCCCGTTCGAGAGAGCTCGGAAGAAATATAGGGCCCAAGACACCCTGAGATCGCAAGCATGCCCACAAGAGGGCCCCGACATGCTGGCAAAATGCCCCAACGCCAGGAGACAAAGCAACAACCATGGTGCGGTACGGTCGCGTGGGGTTATATTGTCCCAGATGTCCATCCCAACCAGCACCTGGATGGTTCCACCGATTCTGTTTGGAGATATTGGTGCAACATTCGCCAGTGTCCTCTGTGGGTGTGTATTGGGGGGTCTCTTGGGGCGTGCAAGAGACTCGTGAGACGTTTTGGGATATCTTGGAGCTCTTGGGGGCACGCTGGGCGTTCACAGGCTGGTCGGTGGTCTCCAGGGGTGGCGCTGGCACGTCTTAGGGGGACGTGCCTTCGTTCTTGTCTTGATGTTTTGGGAGGCGTACTCCGAAGGCGGGGTGTTGGTGCGCGAATTGAACTGACATGTACACAAGCACGACGTGCGAAAGACGCGGTGTATGGCCGCAGCGCTTTTGCAAGTTTGAGACTTCAAGTCATTCGAGGAGGTATGTGTGCTACGGCAAGCATATCGGCGAATGCAGATCAATACCAAACGCGGCGCAGTTATCAGCGCAAGCTCGGTGTATGTAAACTTGCCGATGGATCGCACGTGCGGACGTTTAATAACGCGAAGTTCTTGCAAAGGTGCCACAGCAAGGTGGGAGTGCATGGGACAAGGCGCATCCCCTGAAACCATGGTTCAAGTTATTCCACGCGGATATCCACAGATGATCCTATCTATTATTTTGCAATGTTATTCGACCATGTGTCAGCTTGATTGCGAGGAGTTCTTTTCAGATCCTGTGATTGCGTGAGTGTGGAATTTGAGTGGGTCTGAGTATGAGCGCGCCTGGGTATAAGTCGGTCCGGGAATGGGTGAATGTGAACAGATACGGTTGATTTTGGATATTGGTGGATATGAGTATGAATGGGTCTGAGTGTGAGTGTGAGTGAAGCTGAACATGAGTGGGTCATCGTTATGTGCAGTTGTTCCAACCAACCACTCACCAGTGATTGCCACATTCCCAGGACGGAATATTTCCTCGTGGGCCCAACCATGATGGTTTCAAGCCTTGCACTGGCCCGCATGGGAGAAACCTTGGCGGATTAATTGAAGAACATGTGGATCCGAATGTGCTTGTTATTTCTGTTGTGGTGGATATGATTCCGTCCGCGCGGATGCAATTTCAGATGTTGTGGATATGTGTTCCAGCATGTTTTGTTTCAGACAGACTCGATTTCTGTTTTGTTTAACTTGCAGTCATACGATAAGATTTAAGCAGGGGCCGAGAGAAATCCGATCCGCGGCACCCAGGCCCGCCGATGTTAAGATTGCGTACGTGTTCTTCTTCGGCGTTCCGACATTGGGCGGAAGGGGGGGTGGAGGCGGGGGGCCTGGCCCCAGACATTTGCTAAATGCGATTGTTTGCAACAGAGCGTCGTATGGGGGAGACTCTACCTGCTTGAGACAGTCGCCAAAAACAGCCAAGATCTATTTCATGGGAGGAAGGGATGCGAGGGCCTGCGCCGATCGGCAAAATAATGAACATGAGCACGATAACATTCTACGGGGATGGGGACGTTGTCTCAAACAGGTCGCGCGTTTTCTCACGGACCCCTATCATATCCCACCACACACACACACACGTCGTTCCCAACATGGATATCTAAACCCCACGATTGCTGCAAGTAGCTTGTCCAAACACCGTCCGTTTGGCGGCGCAGACGCTCTCTCGGCAACCGTTAGTCGCAACAGGCGCTCCAACAGGAGTCCTCCCAAACCGGCCTCGATGGGGCCCCTGCCAGCACAAAAAACATTCAAGACAGCCCGAGAGGCCCCCAAGACGGCCCGAAGGAGCCCGCTTGGCCCGTCATGGGCCCCTCGAGGCCGCATTGGTCGCGTCTAGGAATCGTGAGATGGGTGTCTTGTGCCGTCTTGGGGGCCTCTTTGAGCCTCATGTCCAACGTAGTTTCGGCTGCGGCGCCGCTGCAAAGCATGGCCACAACGAACCCACGGCAAGGTCGAAACAAATATGACAACCATAGTTTCCTAATATTGCACCTCACGCTACCTAGATTGAATGTCCAGAACACCCGAGACACCCAACAGATCCCAATGCGACCCCGGTAAACCAAACGGGCTCCCACAACAGCCCCACAGACATTAAGAGAGTCCCAATCACCCTAGGAGGGTTGTTCGAGGGCAGGAAGAGGAAGCAGCCCAAGTTCTCCTCTGACATATTTCGGTATTTCGGCCAGTCTTCTGGGTTTTTCCATGGGTCACCGCGCAAAAAAAAACGTTTGGGGGCCGCATGTGCATTGCACTGGGGAGGGACATTGGGGGGCATTATGGTTATTGGGGGCCGCCTGGGCCTTGTTGATGCCCGTTCTTGGGCCGTCAGGGGCGCCTCGAGACCGCTACAACCATGACCACGACAAACCCATGGCGAACAGGTCAAACACGTAGCAGGCAATGTCCTCTTCTTCCTCCTCTTTTCCCCCTCTTCCTCATTCTCCGCCTACCGTTCATCATCATCATCATCATCATCATCATCATCATCATCATCATCATCATCATCATCATCATCATCATCATCATCATCATTATCATTATCATTATCATTATCATCATTATCATCATTACCATGTTCATCATCAGCACGATCAGCATCATCATGAGAAGCAACAGCATCAGCAGCATCATCACCATTATTACAAACATCATCATCGTCATCATCAGCAGCAGCCGCAGCAGCATCATCATCATCACCATCATCATCAGCAGCAGCATCATTATCATCATCAGCATCATCACCGTCATCATCAGCATCATCATCATCATCAGCAGCAGCAGCATCATCCCTCGTGTTATTGCCAGCTTCGGGGCGCCCGAAACGGTCCATGAGACCTGCAATCGGCCAAAAGAAAGTTGATGATGCCCCAACGAAGGTCCAAAATACATCTCAAGCGCGCGAGGTAAATATGTGCCAGACCCCCATGAGTATGGGCGGAACGTGGGGGGCGGCAGCGACCGCAGGCGTAGGGACAACTCCACTCGGGGCGTCGCTTTGTTAACGAAATCGTCCCCCTTCGGCTCCGTGAGCCTCGAGCTTGAGAATGTCGGAGGGGAGACTCGCAGGGGAGTGGTCCGTAGCGTCTCGGCTCTCCAGTTCGCTTCTCTACACGGGAGGTCTGGCGCGCGAGCGCAGTCTTATGCAGATCTGCACATTTCAGAGGGACTGGGGCCTGGGGAGGGGGAGGGGCCCTCCCTGCTTACGATGCCGCCGCCTGGCAGAGGCGAAGGCCGCAGCGGCTCCCGCCGGCCCGCTGCCCGCGGCCGCGGGGGGCAGGCAGGCGGGCGCCCCCCAGGAGGACTGCCCGGGCCCCGCCTGCTGGGGCCTCCCCAACGCGGGCGCGGGCCCGCAGACAGCCGGGCACCCCCAACGCGACGTGCCAGCCTTGCTGAGCGAGGCCTTCCCGCGTGGGCGGCGTAGGCGCGGAGGCAGCCGGGCGCCGCGCAGAGGGGGCGCCCCGCCTGACCCGCCCCGCGCGGCTGCGGACGGCAAGGTTCAAGCAGGCTCCTTCAAGGAGCCCGACGCCGAGGACTCCGACCGCCGCAAGAAGTACGGCACCGACGACATGATCGAGGTTTGCGCCTGGCGCGGGCCGCTTCGGCGGGGAAAAGATCAGGAGACGGGCCCGTTCGCCTTGTTTCTGAAGTCTCTCAGCGGCCAGCCCCGCGCCCCGCCCCGCAACGAGTGCGGCTTCTTCCGGGGGGGGTTACTTGCCAGAGGCGTCCAAGAAGAGTTTCAGCAAAGTGCTCACCCGCGATTTCCAGTTGTGCTGTTATGACAGGCCGGAGGAATGCCCAGAGGCGCGGGGCTCACGGCGTGTCTACCACGTCGGGAAGTGGCGGCACCGGGACGACAACAACAACGGCAAGGACTATTTCAGCCTCCCCGAGGAGATCGGAATCTTTGAGTCCAGAGGCTCGGGGAGCGAGTGGAGCTCGCCCTGCACCCGGCGCGGGGTCGGCGAGTAATTTTGGTGGCGCCCCTTTGCTCGACGAGCCCAGCCGCGCCGAGAAGGACGCCCCTTCCCCTCGTGGCTTGG